CAATTGTGTGACCGCAGGACAATCAGAAGATCAGAAATGTGGATCAGTTACCAAGAGCTCCAATTGCGATCAAGGGACAACCGGCCAGAAATTCAAGGACTGGTTATTATGTCCCACTCATTTAACACCATCATAATTCTGAAGGGTCATGGAATGACTGTGATGTTCAGTTGCCTTTGGAAAAACACTTTTGGGACAACAATGACTTGGATGATTGAGAGTCTCCTAAGACAAGTGGCAGTTATTTGAATCCATAGCTAAGAAGGGCCCTTACCCAGAATGTTCATGTTTCTGGAATTCTCCAGCATAACTTCCCGGTGCAAGGCTTTTTGGGTGGAATCCAGCAGCGCCCACTCTTCCTCGGTGAAATTGACAGCCACCTCCTTCAAGGACATGGGACTCAAAACAGGACCCTGAAATCAACACACATGAGCAGATAGACTCCAAACCACATTTAGGGGGTGCAGTGGAATAAGCTAGAAATCATAACAAAAGGAGATGAGGTGCACTAAACTGGCATCCTTCAGTCTCAAGAGACTATGGTATCGTGCTATGAAACTGGTAACTGCCACTTCCTGTGTTGTTTCCATGCTGTATGCAAAGCTGGAGCGTCCTCTCCAGAGCACGAGGCCTGGGTAATTTAATATGGAGGATAAACTGTTACCCAAGCAGCAGATCCTTCCCTCTCCACATCGCTGAAATAGTCTAATGGAACGACAGAGACGACACGATTAGTTCCAGGAGGAGTTACCAGAACGTGATTGTATACAATCACAAACTGCTTCCGGGACTCCAGCTCTGGATTATGCCTCGAGGTTGACTCCTGAAGCCTTTTCCAATAATAGATATAGCCACAAGGCAGTGGAGGTTTGAAATCAGAGTTTCCCTTCTCCTAGAAGATGGTTCTACCGTTTTATCTGCCGTTGGGGCATAATGTCCTCTCCCTCTTCCCTCTTCCCTCTTCCGAGATGCGCTAAACAATGTGATAATAGGATAAAAGGTAAAGGTTTCCCCTGTTCAACCATGTTTGACTCTAGGGGGCAGTTTTCATCTCTGTTTCTTAGCCAAGAGAGCCAGCATTATCCAAATA